GTAGATTGCTGCATATCTAGATCCGTTCACACTTTCAGATTTATCAGTCGAAGAAATAAATGAAGTTGAATCAATGCTGATGCGTTTAACAAAAGATATTTCTAATTCAAAGAAATCAACAACCAGCATTTCATCAGAACATGTACAATCACAATCAGGATCGTCATCATCTTCATCAATCAATTCATCCAAACCATCGAAATTATCAACAATTAATCGATTTCGAATGTTATGTCGTTCGTCGTCAGCTGATGCTGAAACTGCACCAAAACCAGAACAAAAAGCAAAACCATTTATTTTAAAACAAGAATTTAGTTTCCATATATCCACATCCACCAGTACATCTTCCAAAGATTTTCAAACATACTGGAACGAAAATAAAACTCGTCTTCCAATTTTAGCATCTTATGCACGTCGATATAATTGTGCACCATCAACATCAGCTGCTTCTGAATCAGCTTTTTCAGTTGCAGGTTATGTTGACAGAAAACAACGAGCATCATTATCAACAACCACCTTACGATATCTGATGCTATTAAAACAATAAAATGATCTATAAGAACATATACATTTAAAAGACTGTTTATTTTTTTTCTTATATTCGTGATAGTTAACGGTTTATTGGTGAATAAAAAAAATTGTATTAATAAACTAGCAAAAAGAAAAAGTTGTTTCGTAAAACATAACACCATTTTGTTTCATATTTGTTCGAAAACAAAAATGTTATTAATCAAAACAGAGAATAATAAAAAGACTTTTTCCATCACATCCTGTAAACATACGAACGCAGTGATATCTATATGATCTGTATTGTTTTTTTTCACCCAAGGTAAGCAACAATATATGATACGTATTTTAAAAGTCTTAAAGAACATCACAAACGGATATTAGTATAAGAGTCAGTCTCACGAGGGAACCGTTCCAACTGATAAATCGCTTTTTTAATGAAAGCTGGTGAGTTATAGGTTATCGAATATGCTGATTCCGAATATGAGTATGAGGAGTGCCCTTAGGCCTTCATATGGTGGGTTTCTGGAAAACCAGGTCTCCAGAAAAATAACTTTAAGCCAAATTTTTCTTTTTGACCTGCTCAGATTATAGAGCACACCGAGTTGTCTATAAATCAATAATTGTTCCTGTTTTGCAAGGATAGTCTTGAATAAACAACATTAAACTTTCCTCTTTGTACAGTGAAATGCTAGTAATATGCATCTACTATATGAATTCAATTGACTGTATTTCATCGGAAAATCTATTTGAAACAAAAGAAAATATCGATTAATAGACAACTTGATGTGCTCTATAATCTGAGCAGGTGTAAAACAAAAATTTGGTTTAAAGTTAGTTTTCTGGAGACCTGGTTTTCCAGAAAACCACCATATAAAGGCCTAAGGGCACTCCTCATACTCATATTCGGAATCAGCATATTCGATAACCTATAACCCACCAGCTTTCATTAAAAAAGCGATTTATCAGTTGGAACGGTTCCCTCGTCAGAAGAATCGTATCGATAGCAAATAATAATTTCATTAATCATTCA